GCATACAAGAACTGGGGTGCAGGCCAGAGATGTGGGTGTGAGAGGATTCACCAGAGTGGGGAGCAAAACAGGCGGATCCACTGAAATACACTGCTGTGGGGAGCAGCGGGTCAGGAGAGGTCTGCCACGCCATGTGAGTCACTTCCTGGCAGGGTGATCCAACTGGGGCTGCAGTGGCTAAGACCTTTGATAGTGCTGAGACTTTAACCCCTGTGTCACCAGAGAGGCTCACATGGCTCCTTGATGAAGAAGAAAACAAAAATGCACACTGCCAACCATGACGCCACAAGCACAGTATCCAGCGCCACGCAAGGCCTCACAACCCACCACACATACACACTCACTCACAACCTCAGCCAGCCAGTCACACACCCAACCATACCCACCCACTCACGCCCCCTGCCTCCCATACAGCAGGCCCGGATCCTCTTGCACAGTCCACGTCCACAGGTAATTTGTCATTTGCTCATTTGCTCAAAGCATCCTTTTGAAAGCTACTAACTGGATTGGGGCGACTCCCAGAGCCTCTGACCACAGGAAGGTGTTTTTTTCGGTTTCATCTTGCACCGCAGTACTTTCTCAGCCCATAGAAATAGAGGTTTAATGAGAGCCTGTGGCCTCCCTCCCCCATCCTGGTCCCTGCCTTCACAGGAGGTTTAGGAAGAAGGGCTGTTGGTTTTTGCAAGGTAGTATGACCTGCTGGGCCCCTTGGGGGTGGGGGGAACAAGAGTACCCACAAGGCCTTGCAGAGAGCATGGTAAGCATGGTGCTGTGCCAGCCTAAATTCCTATGTGTCAGCGGCCTGGCCACTGTGGGGAGGAGCTGTCCACATCCCTCTCCCAGTCTCTGGCCTGGGGCTGTGGTAGGGACCGTGGCACATGGTCTGACATATAGGAGGCCCTCTGAAGTGCTGCCCCCAGCATGGCCTGGGAGTCAGGGCCCTGGCCACAGTCTGCTCCACTGAGCAGCCCTGAGTGGCCTGGGAGAGAAAACAGACACAGGATGGCTCTGCCACCTGGAACTTCAGTCCACCTGTCTAGGAAATGGGAAGAAGGAAAGTCAGAGGGGAGGCTGTCTGCACAGGGGCTCCCCCTGAGGCCAGCCAGAGGCAATCTGATGCTGGTTAATCTGCAGACATGGGCTGAGTCCTCAACAACTCTGGGGACCCCACAGCTCCCCACCCTGCTGCCTTAGACTCCACAGAGTTCCTGAGGACTCAGCCCATGTCTGCAGGTTAACCCAGCAACGGGTCCCCTCTGGCTGGCCTCACCCACCACGGAGGTGGTTGGGGTGGCTGCACCCAACGCTGCCTCGTCTGCCTGACCCACTGGTCTCATGAGAGACTAAAGACCTGTTGACCTGAAGAAGGAAAGAAAGGTTAGAGGAGAGGGGGGAGAGGGGCCCCAAAGTAGAGCCAGAGGCATGGGACAGCAGCACTGGGCCCAGTACAGAGTGTGGGAGGTCTGCTCTCTGGACCTATAGCTCTGGGCTCCTAGGCAGCTCTGGAAGGGGTGGCACCCTCTGGTCAGGCCCACTGGGGAGATATGATGAGAGAAAGGGAAAAGACCAATAGGAAGAAAAGGGTTGATCATTGTGGAAAGAAGGAAAAGGGGAGCCCTGACCACAGAAAGGAAGTTGCATGGCCCCCACTGGAGGAGGGGACATGTGCCTGTCCTCACTGTACCTCTCAGGAACAGTGATGGTCACCCACTATTGCCCCCAGAGGCCCAGACCCCAGGGCACACGTGTCAGGGCAGAGCAGCAGAGGGCTACTCGGACAGGGCTACCCACTGGCCTATGACCTTAGAGTACAGCCCTTCCTGGGGTTATGTGGAGACCCACGGGCCACCCTGAAAAGCTTAGTCCCAAGAAGCCCCTGGAAGTTCTCAGTGTCCTAACAGCAGAGGCACCCTACAGCCTTCCTATCACCTCTCCTAGAGGTTGCTGGCAAAAATCCTGGGCTGGGGTGAAGCGAGCAGCAACTGGGTGTGGCCCAGCACAAAATAAAGGCCCTTATACCCTGAAATGCCCAGGCAAGGCCTGTCCTTAGGAAATTTCCTTCTTTGTCCCCACTAATTTTTACCCTCTCAAGATTTAGCAGATCACAAATTCATCCCTCAGAATCAAAGCCTGACAAAGCAGTAATTCTCTTGGATACGCAAAGAATGGGAAAAAGGGCCAGGCCCCGGTTTTAGGGGTTAGATGTGGCCCTCCAGTTACCCCCGCCCTTCCTCAGTTTCCCTAGTTTACGACTAGGGTTAGATCATTCCTGAGGATCCCACCTGTTCAAATGTCCTGTGGGTTTTCTGGGAAGGCCACCAGGACCCAAATATCAAGGAGTAGCCCCACTCATGCTGCAGCACCTCAGATGAAGGCCAGGCCTCAGGGCTAGTGTTCCGCCATGAGGAGGAGGCAGCTCAGTCATGGCACCTGACCTCAAATACCCAGGATAGCTGTCCTAGCTGTGTGACCTCAGACAAGCCCTGAAGCTCTCTGAACTTCATTCTCCAAGCTTTTGGAACATAAAGATGCAACCACTTCCCACAAAGTTGTGATAGGACTGCACAGAGACAGCTCTCAGCCCATGGCCCACCTGGAGCTGCGCTCAGATTGATCCTATTACAGTCACCACCACCTGCCACCTTTCCAGTCCTACAGGGCAGAGCAATGAGCACACTTGTGTGATGGCTGGTTACAAGGCAGTGCGCCACCTCTGAGTTCCAGTCCTCTGCACTAGTGAATGGAGGTGTGCACAGAGGTCAGGGGGGCTTGTCTCCTAGGTTTCGCATCCTCTTCCCGGGAGGGGGCTGTGCTGGCACTTTTAAATGGTAATAGATGCAGTCTTGGTGAAACATAATTAGTTTTGGGACTAGAAGGGTAAACAAATGTGTAACTCATGAATTTGCTAATTGTCCTTCATTTTGATCTTCTGCCACTTTTCCTAGACTCCCTGACATCCTAGTTTGTGGCAAGAACTCGGAGTGCCTAAGCGGGCCAGGGAGGCAAATGGCCTCACAGCCTCACAGCTGGTCTTGCCCTCTCCCCAGACACCCACCTCCAGCCCAGGCCCCACCGCAGCACATATCACACAAGGCAGGAAGCCCGTGGCACTCAATCTTTTATTTTCTTAAACTGTACACAAATGTAAAATACTTTAACAGCAAGTCTAAGGGAAAATTGTTTGGTTTTAAATTATTATGAAACAGAACCTAAGGGGAGCTTTATTAAATAAACATAAAGATGGGGATTTAAGGATACACACCTGCATTCTACCGTCATCATTCTTACTCTACCTTCTGGGTGTGTAAGGATAGAAAAGACACATCAAACTGAATAAACAAAATCCATTTATACCCTGAAACGTTGGCAGGCCACTCAAGGGATTGTTCAGAACGTCTATCTCATAGAAGATGGCCTCACCATCTAATAAAAATTAAAACTGATCTGTTGGCCTCTTTGGTTCCAAAATTATGTATAATACATTAAACTGTATTTTTTTTTGCTGCTATAAAAATAACTTCTTTTTTCAAATGGCAGTTTCTGACTAATCATGCAACTAAATCAGTGCAAACATTAAAAGCAATCATTCGCTTAAAAAAGAAGCAAAGGATTTCATTTCAAGTATAAAAAATATAAAAAGAGTCGTACGAGTCCAGTTTCATCTAGTGTGGGTCAACCCTTTAAATTGCATAGTTCACGTGCACTTGGTCATCTAGGGGCGAGCGAGTTCAGTGCTCTGCCAAGGGCCACTTCTGGACACACGCAGATGGGCAAGTGCTAAATCATGTGCGTTCAGGCAGGTCTGCAAGTGCCAGGAGGGGGGGGCGGGGGGGCAGGCGATGGGCCCATGTCCATGGCCGGCCCTGGTGGCCAGGGGTCCACATGGATAACTTCTGCAAAGCAGCTGAAAATGTCTGCCGTCTCTCCAAGACCAGGTAAACTGCTCTCTTCCCTCACCCCGTGCTGAGGGGGGACCTGCCCAATCCCCCTCCAACATTTCCAGAATACCCCCCCAAACCACCATTTCCTCCTCTGGGCTCATCCTCTTGCCCACCCCTCCCCTGAGGAGGGTGCAGAATACAACTTTTTCCCCCTTCCCTTTCATATCAATCCAAATTTTAATTTCAAAAGTCATACCAGTAAAGTCCCTTTTCGATTATACAGATGGAATGAATGACCGGTCAACTGCTACTGATCAGTTAAAGCATCAAATTAAAACCGACCGTTTTTACTCTCCCCCTTTCCCAGCCCCCCAAACACACACACACACACATTTAAGTCACCCAGAGACCCAAGCATCAGTCACAAGGTCGTCGCCACTGCTCCACAGTCTCGGGCAGGTTGTGTCCTTTCTGGATCTCTTTCCCTGTACAAGAGCAGGAAAGGACTGGCACCCCCTGGTCCTGAGGCAGGAAGAATCTCGGGCAGGCATCCTGGCGCGCGCTGGAACAGGAGATGCTGAGGCAAGGCTGCCCTTGCACGAAGGAAAGGGGACAGGCAGCCCTCCCACCTGCCTGCAGCCTCCCCACCCCCGCATCTGCTTTTCCTCCCAGTGGCTCCCATGCTCGCTCTCTCTGTATCTCTGTCTTTGTGCTTTTATGTGTGCTCGGAAGGCGCAATTCAGAGTGGCCAGGCCAGCTGGTGGGAATGGTAGCTGCTCACCCCATTCTCTCCCACTGACAGGCATTGGTAGCTAAGCTGCCATTTGTCACCGCATCCATTTGCTGGTATCCTGGAGGCTGCTGTGTGGGTGGCAGGATGCGTCTGGCTGTGCGTGTCTCCGTGTGCATTTTAAAGTATTTCATGTCATTTGAGGGTTCCCACTCTGGTTTTGACTGCTCGATGTAGTAGTAGGAAAATGTTCCAATCCTCACCCTGGCACCTTCCGGGCACCCCAGAGGAGCAACCGCGCTTAACCCACAATGCACCCTGCTCCCGTCCGGGCTGAAAGGAGCCCTTCTGGGATGGTCCTCGCACCCGCTGCGGCAGCCTGGCCGCTGCAGCCCAGCCACCGCCACCGTCAGGCGCAGCCGCACTCCTCCACGATCATGTTGGGCACGTCTCGCTTGACGATGTTGTACTCGTCATCAAAGTAGAGCATGGACATGGTGCTCAGCTTGGTGGGGATGCAGCAGGAGTTCACCGTGCCAGGGTTCAGGCCCCGCATGCGGTACTGATTCACCACGGCCGTGTGGAAGGAGGAGGCAGAGCCAGGGACTCCCGCCAGGTAGGCCGGGCAGCTGCCTTCACAGTAGTTCCCATAGTAGCCAGTGGGCGCGATGATCCAATCATTCCAACCGATGAGGCGGAAGTCGATGAAGAACTGTTGCCTGCAACAGAGGTTGGTCCGGCCATCACATTCCAGGCCCCGCTTTCGAATGCGGTGTCTGCTGTCGCCCAGCCGTGCCTGCACGACCACAAAGGGCCGGTGCGACTCCTCCCCAGGGTCCACAAACACAGGCACCACGGCCAGCTCCTGGCAGCCATCGCACTGCACGTCCAGGTTGAGACGCCGCTCGCCCCGCTCAAACAAGGCCTGGAGGGCCTCAGTGAGCGGGAAGGTATGCCAGCCGCTGCGCTTGAGGTCCACCCTCTTCTCCACCACATTCCACCGGTCTCCGTGGCCCTGCTCCTGGAAGTACACCTTGACCCGCACCTTCCGCCGACTGCCCTTCTCCAGGACATAGGGCAGTAGTTTCAGGTAAAGCCACAGGCTGGCCTGTACCACGAACAGGTTCTGGTTGCCTTCGTTGGAGATGAAGAAGTACAGGCGGACCCGGGAGGAGGCGAGGCCATCTGTGGAGAAGTGGGAGAACAGGCCAAGTTAATTCAAGGAGAACACGAGGCGATGGGGGAAAGTGTCTGCTGCATGATGCTGGAATGTGAGCGTGCCACGCAGCTGGAAAACGTTATTGACCAGAAACACCGTGCCTGCGGCCGGGTCCATGACTGTAACCTGGGAATAGCAAAGAAAATGGTTTCCCATTGAGAAACCCAGATCAGGTTGGAGCTGGAGGGTCCAGGCCTATAAAACCCTGCCTCACCTCTCCCAGGCCGGGGCTCCCCCAAGACAGGCTGTCAGGCCTCAAAGTTCAACAGAGGAACTTGTCAGAAGGCCAAGATCCTAACAAGTTGTTATAGGTATCTGCAAAATCTGAAAAACAAAACCAGGATCGCACCAAAGATCTGTGGGTGGGTTGTTCCAGTAGAGTTTTGAGATTTTTTTTGTTGTTTTGTATTTTAGTGGTTTTTTTTTTCTTCTTCTTCTTCTTCTTGTTAACTTAGGGCATTGCAAAATCAAGCTGAGCCACCTACTGCCTCTTTCCAGTGTTTACCTAAGCATGATCTGATCCAACCCCAGTAGAACCTCCACGGCAAACAAGCAAGCCCTGCTCAGATTTCTGACACAGGAACGTGTGTGCTCCCGGGACTGCAAAGTGCAGCCCTCCTTTCTGGGTAGTTACAGGGGACGGGACAGTCAATGTTGAATCTTGAGGTCTACTCCTTTGAGGAGACCTGCCTCCCGTTAGTGGGACATGCAAAATCTCCAGGGAAAAGGGGGACTGCCTTGTTAGTTTTCTCAATAATTCAGCTCAACCAGGAGAGGCTGTGCCAACCAGAGACAATCCCCTCTCATCCTGCATTTAGTGACCCTTCACTCTGCCAATCTCTACTTTTCCTTTCTTTCTTCCTTTTTTTTTTTTTTTTTTCCCCCACATCCCCAGGAAGAACAAATAAGGCAACTGTGTGACCATGGCTGGTTTCATCAAACCTCCTACCACTGCTCCCCTCCAGCCCCCTCCTCAGGCCTGGCTTTTCTAATAACACTGACATCTGACTTTGAAATGGGGGAAAGTGCAGCCTTAAAAGCTGGTCTTGGACGAGCTGCCTGTGACCTGAATCTGTTATTTATAAGTCAAAGAGCTGGCTCCGTGAAACGGACCAGAAATATAACAGCCCCTGCTGTCATTTTGTGCCACCGGGACCAAAAGGCCTCCTCGACCTTCCAGAATCACATTTCTACTCTGGGCCCCAAAGCACCTTTTAATCCAAGCTCTCTAATTGCACGTGGAGCTTTCCCTGACTCGGTGGGACAGCTAAAACGGCAATGCATTTCTTTCTAAGCACAAACCAGCCCCTGATTGTCTCTGCTTTTCTCCACACCCGGCCATGCAAAACTTTTCATCCCTTTTCATCCCAGGGCTGCACCAGCACAGTCAGTCTGCTGCCTAGGAAGGTGGGGGGAATTTGCAGCCTGGGGACACAACTGTGCCCCCCCAACCCCCACCCCAGGCTCCCTGCCCATACCCCACCCTGCTGGTACCAGGACTTCCCCCTCTGCGACCTTCTCTGCAGTCCCCTCAGTACTAATGGGGCTGAGCTCCAGGCACAAAAGCCAGTCTGGCTCATTCAAGTCCTGAAAAGGACAGCAGAGTCGAAAGCACTCGCAGCATTTCAGCCTGGGCACATTTTTCTCCTTCTTTTAAAGTTCGGGAAGATTCTTCTTTCTCTCTTGATTTTTATATATTTAGACAGTGGCAGGGATTTGCAATCCAGGGCCCAGGGAAAATTCCAGAAAGAACTCCTACCCTTTGTTAACTACAAACTCTGCGGCTCTCAGGCGAGGGGGCTGCTGCCGCTGCCAGGCTAACCGAGAGGCACCGGGCTGCCCCCGAGCCGCGGCTTTCTCTGCGTAAATGATGGGACCTGTTGAGAAGCCTGCCTTCCGCCCGATTCCGGTGCCCACACAATCGGAAGAGAGGTTGCCTAGCTCTCCCCAGTGAGGCTTCAGCAATCCTGGCAAGCCCACGCCGCTGGGCGATGGAAGCGGCCCGGGAGGCTCTCACGCGCACACACACACACACACACACACACACACACACACACACACACGCTCCTCCGGCCCACGGATATCAACAAGCACACACATCTCCATCCACACTGCTAAGCCCACACTCCGATCGTGGGAAACAAAAACATTAAGCAATCACCGAGCAAGTGCCCGCGGAGCCCGGGCCGCAGCATCTGCAGGGAGGGGGACGCGCGCCCAGAGGCTCTGGGGCCCGATTTCCCAGAGCAGGGGCTGAAAAGGAAGACGCTTCGCTGCAGGGGTAGGGAAAATAGGGAAGGGTCTGTCGCCACCGGGAAGAGGGCGGCAACCGGGAAACACCGCACTGAGCCCGGAGCAAGTGGGCCAGGTCGGGAATCCGGTTGCCCCTAGGGTACGCAGACTGCGGCAGCTTCCCGGAGCCGGCCAGAAGAAGGGGGTGAGCGAGGGAGGCAGGGCCAAGCCTGGGAACCAAAAGGACGGACCCACCTGTCTCTGCGAAGCTAATGATCTCGGAGACGCGCTCCTGGCCGTCGGCACCCGGGCTGGCGTGGCCGTCGAGGTGCGGGATCTCCACGCGGCCGTCCTCGCGCACCTTGCCCGCGTGCAGCTTGCGCAGGGCCGTGACCATGGCGGCCTTGGGCACGGCGTGCGTGATGTTGGGCCGGCCCCGCATCTGCAGGCGGCTCAAGATGTGCCGCTTCACCGCCTCCAGGAAGTCGCCGTCCAGTCGGCCCAGTTCCTCGGGCCGCCGGAAGCCGCCGCACGACGTGCAGGTGTCCTGCG